AATGTTTAACACGCGCCTACCAGGAAGAGAGCTAGGCCCTGAGACCCAGGGGGATATCATTATCTGCCACTGTACTGAGGAGCATAAAGTGCGGTGAGGGAAATGATCATAGTACAGCACAGGGCATGATACAAATATATAAGAGAGACTCACTCAATTATTGATCCCACCACTTTCCAGCTGGGGATCTCTGTCAAACATAAGCCTCAACTCCCTCACCTGTAAAATGGGAAGAATACATAAGACTGCCTTGCCTTGCTGGATTGAGAGGATCAGGTAGGCAAGGCACCTAACGCAAGTGCTGCCCAATAGAAAGTAGCTGCTCAATAAATTATAATTATTACTGTAGTTGATATGGTGACAACAAAAAGAATCATTGATCTTCAACACAGAAGATCAACTGTTAAAGACAGAGTCCAGATCTTTAAAAAAAAAAAAAGTAGAAGGTGGTTTTCAAACCCACTTCATGGTAGTAAAAACCAGACTGACTTCAAAGTATTTAATTGTAAAGCAACATACAGTCAACACAAACTGCAGGACGGAGGGAGAGCATTCTAGGCTGCAGTTGGGGAGCACTGTCTATAAAGAATGAATTTGGGGAGATGGGTATAAATGCTGACCAAAGAGGGGAAGGAAGTGCTGGAGGGAAGAGAGGACAAGATCCTGCATAACATCTCTGCCTTGGCGCCTGCCAATCCCTCCCTCCCCCACACTTACAGGAATAAAAATAAAATTAATCCCCTTCTCTCATCCAAGCATTTTCTCTCGGCCACGGGCTGATGGGTCTGTAATCCCTTCTCAATCCCCGTCAGTCACCCTCATCCCAGCTCTGCTCCCAGCAAAACATCTCTCCCAGAAAATGAATCCTCCCAGGTTGACAGAGGAGGGGAGGAAGGAATCCTGACTAATAAGAAATCTTATCACTAAAGGACAGAATCCCAACAAAGGGGTAGGTTGGTATGTCAAGATTAGGTGATGATCCGAAGCACCTGGCTCAGAGTAGGGGCTCAGTAAGCATGTACATGAAGAAGTCAGGTAGAGGGGAAGCACAGCTTCCTGCTTCTAAGGGATCAGCACCATCCTGAGCTTCACTGGGGAAGGACGACAGCACAGCCCACTAGAAAGGGGCAAGACACAAGACAGGACAGAGAGAATAAAAGTAAATCTGCCCTTTAGAGCCCCAGGGAGTTGATTTCATTAGTGTGCCCACTGGTGCTGATCTTGGAGGGTCCAAGGCACTCCACAGATCAGTCTCCAAGGGGATCCAAAGTCCCAGACCTCTTTTCCATACATCACTGGCTTCTCCATTATCTACCATTGACTTTTTGGGTTTTGTTCTCTTTCACGAAATACATTTCTTTGTTTTCCCTTTATGGCCATTTACTCTTTAAGACAAGGACTTTGTACAATAATTCTGCTTAATGTCATATATAGCAGGATGCAAAGCACATAAAGGTCAAAAGGCTCTGACCATGGCAGTCAGTGGCTGCCATACACAGGCACCTGTGTGAATGCTTCGTGAATTTTTATATTCTTGATGGTTTATACATGAAGCACTCACCCATGGGAGAGTGGTTGAGAAAATACAGTCTCCTGGTCTTTCTTCCTAAAGGACTCTACATGCATCTGAAGATAGTAGATTACACTTGAAGAAGGACCTGAACTCAAAAGCTTTACTTCTGGAAATCCCACCTCCTTGCTCATCCCCATCTCAGAGGCCAGCCAGTCAGGTCTTCCTGTGGCTGCTTCTACCACAAGGATGGTGTATCACAGTGCCTATTTCTTGTGCGTCTCCCCACCTGACCATGAGCTTGCTAAGGGCCAGAAATAGGTGTTAGTTGCCACTCCACTCCAGCACCTAACTGCAGGGTCTAGAACATAGTGGTGACTCAGTGAATGTTTGCTGAGTGAAAAGAGGACCAGACAAGAAGGTCCCTAGACTGGGAATTGTCCAGACTCAGCAAGTTCAAAGTTCACCTACAGAGAAATCAGAAAAACCACTAAGAAAGGCTGGATGTGGGCATTGTACATTCTTGGCAAGCCTCTCCCAGGTCAGAAGCAAGCTCCTGAGGGAGCCCATCAGGAGGGGCAGCGCAAGAGATAAGGTACACCAAGGCTTGTGACCATGGCCTTAGGAAGGTATGCCCTAATTTAGTGTGGATGTTACTCTCAGGGGGCCTAGTACAGAGAACTCACATTTACTGTGGTTGGTGATTGTCATGGATTATCTCATTTCACCCCCACAATGACGCTAGGGAAAAAGGATAAAGGTCCACTTTATAGGTGCCATTCTGAGGGAAAACCCTTATGGTCTCCAAAGCCTTGAGACAGACTCACATCACAAACAGTGAAGCTCAGGAGAGGCTCACAATAAAATATCTTATGGGATCATACATTCTCAGGGTTCGTGGAGGCCTAAATCTCCTGGTTCACCTTCTCCCCTTCAAAAAGATACTCAAATTCCTGCAGCATTTATCATCCCAACAAGCTTCTTAGGAAAGAAACCCTGCTGGAGGGTTTGCCACCTCTCCAGTCAGCCTACCCTATCTTTGAACAGTAAAATTGCTCTTACCATTTCCTGACTTCTATCCACCCACCCCACACTTTCCCCTGGTATCTACACAGAGCAAAGCTAATCTCATTCACATGCCAACCTTCCTGCTATCTGAAGGCACTTACCACCTCCCTTCCTGGGGTTTAGAAAGACATTGCACAGGGTACTCTTGTTTCATGAAGATTAGCAAACACTTTTGGTTGAGAAAAGGAACCAGAGAAAGACACTGACATATCTTGTTGCAGTGAAGGTGATTCTTGGGGCAGCGGGTAGAGGAGATGGACTCCAGACCAGAACACACACAAATCCTGACGGTCTCCACAGAGACCATTAATAATGCCAGGAGGGTCTTCTGGGATCAACTAAAGTCCTCGTTTTACAAAGGAAGCATCAAGAAGCAGAAGGGTAAAGTGGCAAAAGCAACACAGCTAATTAATAACATGGTCACAATTAGAAGGCTTTGAACCTGCAACCCAGTCCCTCTTAGCCCTGTGCCGCCCCGCATCTCTCTACTCCAAAACCTAACAGCAACCACCCTGTGATTTCAGAACAATACTCCCACAATAACAGCACCTTCTACAGTCTCACTTTCACTACACTCCCAACGGGTAAAGGGAAGAAACATATCATTAGCTTCCTTTTATAGAGGGTAAGAGGAAGCACAAAGCACAGAGGCAAAGGGACCTGCTTGGATTCACTAGCAAACTGCATTTATTCTTGGAACTCAAAGCTCAGTTAAGACTCTTTACTCTGTTGACAATGAGCTATTAAAGGGCCAGGGGGCATCTTCCTCTGGAAATGGATTTCCTGAATAAGGAAGGGGGTCACCTCTGTCTGCAGTTCAGTTTGGCACTTTTTTATGACATACAAAACTCTTCAAAGCCTTCTTTCCTTTCTGCCTCTTCAACCAGCATGCTTCAAAGGAAAGAGTATCAGAAGTCTGGGTTCCTCGCCTGGTTGTGCCCTGACCAGATCTATGACCTGGGGCATCCCTCCTACCCAGGGCCAGCTCCAGCTTCTCCATCTATAAAATAGGGACAATAAATTCTGCCCTGTAAGTAACCAGGATGCCCTGAGGCTCAGATGACAAAGAGCAAGTCTGGGGCAGGGGCGAGCTCACACCCACAGCTCCCACAGTATGCAACTGTTCCCCTGTTCTTGCTGCCTGGCCTCCTCTGCAGCCCTACTGCCCAGTGCATGTGAAAGGGTCATGAAGATCTCATCCAAGCAAAGGTGGAGGAGAAAAAAACAAATGCAACACCCTAACACTTCTATTTTCCAAAAGACATTTACACTTATTAGCATAATACTTACCATTTATAAATTCTATATGCATGCACCATACAAAGGGTGCTTCTGCATACTCTCTTGCTTTTAGTTTTCACAACTACTCATTTTACAGATAACTTAGGCTTGGACTTTAAGCAATCGCCAGTAAGCAGGGGAGCGGGGGGCAGGAGAAAGCCCCACTTATCACCCAGTTCAGTGCTTTCCAAACTTTAATGTGCTCATAAATCACCTGGGAAGATTCATAAAGAATCAGATTCTGCAGGTTTAGACTGAAGCCTAATGTGCTGCTTCCAAGTAGATGGACAACACTGTATCAAGGGAAAGATTTGAAATTCCATTAAGGTAGAGCCTGCGTCACTGAATCTCCAAGGTTTAACACGGGGCCCGTGCTACAGAACGCACTCAATAATTATTGAATGAGTCAGTGAATATCTGACTCCAAAATTCATGTTTTAATGCTTCTCTATATTGTCCCATTATGATCCTCAAACAAACTTCTAACATTCCCACTTGACACACAAGGAAACAGGCTCAAGAGTCACCTGGTTTCAGTTTTTGTGAAGCAACGCCCACGGCGGTTAATCTTAGGATCCTTTACTCTGACCACAGCTGTCCCAAGGAATGGGGGCCGAGGGTGGGAGTGCCGCGGGGGGGGGGGGTAGAGCCGGGAGGTGCGGGTTAAATACAGACCACCAACGGATGGCTAGGAGCTGGAACCGGCCCACAGCTGGGGAGGTCACCGGAATATCTGAGCTGCTCCCAGGGAAGGAGTCAACATGGTCCAGTGTCCCCCAGGAGGGAATCAGGAAGGCGAAGGAGACCAGTTATGGATATGGTGCCTGACACTTGTGGGGTGACCCCTCCGGACCTCTCCGCGAGCCCCGCTCGGCCCGAGCACCCCCCGCCAGTCCACCTGGGGGTGGGAAGGTTAGAGGCGGTCAGGGAAATCGCTGCTGGACGATGAATCACGGAGCACATGACCCTGCAGGACCAGGAAGGGTGAGGAACCTGCGCGGGATGCTGCGGGGGCTGGAGAGGGCAGGCCTCGCGCTCGGCGGCCCTCCAGCCTGGACCTGGGGAGCAAAGAGAAGCCCCCCCCCCCACGCAACTCCACCTCCCGGCCGCGCCCCGCAGCCCCAGGCTTCGCGGGACTTACCGCCTTCAGCTGCTCCAGCCGGTCCTTCATCCTGCAGCCCAGGTGCCCGGAGGCAGGTAACGCGTCCCAGGTGAGCGCGTCCCAGAGGAACCGCCGGAAGTGGCGGCCGGTCCCGGCCGGGGCGAGGGAGCTCCAGGCGGAGGCGGGCGGCGGCCCTCGCTAGGAGGAGCGTCCCAGGCCACCGAGGCTCCGCCGCGCCGCCTCCTCCGGCCCCCGCCGCCGCCGAGCGCTCCAAATCCGGCTCCCGGGCCGGCGCCGGCGCGCAGCGCTCATCCGCCCGCAGGCCCGCCCCTTACCTGGCCGCGCCCGCGCTCCTAGTTAAAGGGCCCGCGCCCGGCCGCTGCCCGGCCCCCCTCGCGCCTCTCACTCCACCTCTAACCCCTGGTCCCTCAAAGAAGTGGAGGCTCTGGCGCTGGTGGACCCTGCCGCTAGGAGAACCGTGGGGGTGGCCTCGATTACGTCTTTTCTACTCCACAGCCATTCATTATCTAGACTGGGATCCAGCCCCCGGCTGACTCATTGCTAGGGTGGGACAATCTCCTGGAAACTAGCAACTAAGACAATGTGATTTGTGCCACCGTCGGTGGGAGGAAAAAGTTCTGATGACACTCAAGAGATATTCCCCCTGGAGGAAGGGCATTCCAAGCACCAGAAGCAGCGCGGCCCGGGCTGGAAGGGGTGTCCCTGGGTGTCCCAGAGGAATAACTAGAGATGAGGTGGGGAGGAGGAGGCTGCGGCCAGGAGTTTGGGTTTTTACGCTGTTAGTAGTTGAGGTCTGACACCTGCCTTTAATAATTTGTATACCTTTGGGAAAGCTCTGTTTCTCAAGAGGACCCGTTTCCATATCTGTAAAGTCAGAGATAATATCTATTTGGCCGTTTAATATCTACTTGGTCTACTTGTGAATATCTACTTGGTCTACTTGTGAATATCTACAAGTCTACTCATTTCCTACCAAGTGTAGAGGTTCCCGGGTGTTTTATGAAAAGATGGACCTGTTCTAATTTCCCCTCCCTCCTTATCCCTTCTCTTCCCTCTCCCTCTCTTCCCTTCGCTTTTTTTTGGGGGGGGGGGGGGGGGGGGGACGGAAGACCAATGACAAACTGAGCAGAAGAGAACTCAGTAAATGGGACTAAGGAACCAAAGATGTAATTCTCAACTTAGGGAAAGAAGTTGCTCTATGCATTCAGTTTAAAAGGTTATAAATATTTTTGCAATTCTAACAGGACTTTGCCCTCTTCTGCGACATGCATGCTTCACGCTGACTTCATCGACTGCCATAAAGATCGTCTGTATGACAGGGGTTGGGCTGTTTGAACTAGCCCTGCGGTTCAAAGCTCTAATCCTCTCCATGACGTCCAGCAAATATTCTTCTGCCTCCAGCGCTCTTTAGGTGGAGTCTTGTTTACCACGAAGACTTCCATGCCCCCTGGTGGTCATAAAAGGAAAAGGTGAGTACCTCACAATACAACACCTCCTTCCTTTGATTTTTGTTAGTGGGGATAGCAAGGTTCCTGCACTTGCCGAAAATTGGGTCTCCTACAGGAGACAGAGGGATGAAGAACTCTACATTGGAAGTTTGAAAAGGACCATAGTGGTCAAGAGTAAGGATTCCATTCCATAGCAGGAACCAAGAAGTGGCCATGCATCCTCCACCATAACACATTCAAGGCTTTTTGTTAAAACATAATTGCTTTCAAAAGAGTGAAATCATGGCTCTTGTACAAATATAAAATGAACACGCAAATATTTTATTTAGTTCATTAATTAATGAAGGAACCAATAAGGACTTAAACTTGTGTAGAGGAGAACTCAAAAAACAGATACACAGGCAGTAGGGAAGCTGAAATGAATATAATAATAAAGGCATAACTGTCTCTGTGGTGGGGGATCAGTTGTACTTCTGCCTGATAAAATTTATTTGCATCTCTATGGAGAAGAATTATTTGCATTACTATCCATATTTTTAACTTACAGAATTGGAAAATAGCTACATAACCATTCAAGGCATGTACCATTATAAAAATCAAATAACCCAGAAAAGTGCATTAGATAAGTCCATCACAGGATACATGCCATAGAACACTCAATAATCTTTTGGGGGGAGGGCATTTTAATTTTTCCAGTTCTTGCAGACACTCCCAAGGTAACACCTTCCATGGTGTTACCTAACACTAATTATATGTAAAATTCTTTGTTATACAGAACAAAAATTTGTCTCCCTGTAACTTCCATTATTTCTTGCTCCTGGCCTTTGTGCAAACACTTAAGAAATTCAATCACATGATGGTCTTTCCATGAAGGGAGAGTTGCTATAGGAGAGGAGCACAATTCCCAGGCACATGACCAGGAGGCCTGAGTTACCACGAAATAGCTGTCACTTGACATCACACAGCTTATTTTCTCCTCTGTCAAATTAGGGTACTGACCAAAACTAATAATTCCCAACTGTTCAAAGTCAAGACTGTCATATAATCATTATTTTTATTTATAAATCTCTCATTTTAAAAAAATGCCATATCCCCAGAAAATATATATACCATATAACAAGACTCTATAATAAGAAGCTTGGCTTCTTATAAAAGAATGTTTCCATGATGGGGGGTAAAAACAATCTTTTTGGTCACTCTATGTGGCTATAGCAAAAATGTCTATATTTCTCTGAAAGTTTTTAAACATTGAAAATACCATAAAGAGCCCTCTTAACTGCAATTAAAATCCAGAAACCCAGAGAGAGAGAAGCCCATCGGCACATGTTTTTTTTGTTTGTTTGTTTGTTTTATGGCATTCTATTGGAAGGTAGTTATCAAAAACTTGGACCCTTCCCTACAACTCCTGCTAGGCATGAATTCTAAGTTGTTAATTTTATATTAATACTTGTTCTTTCAGGCAGAAGTGTGGATTCCATTCCACTGTCTGTGCAAGAAACTGAAAAAAAAAAGTAATTCTGGACAAAGTGGCTCAGGCTTGTAGTCCCAGCTATATGGGAGAATGAGACTGGAGGTCTCCCAGGTCTCTCTCAAGTTTGAGGCCAGCCTGAGCAACTTGGAAAGACCCTGTCTCAAGTTTTTACAAAATGGAGAGGGCCTGGGGTTGGGATATAGCTCAGTGGTAGATCACTTAGCTAGCATGTGCAAGGTCCTGAGTTCAATCCCCAGTACCAAAAAAAAAAAAAAAAAGTCAAGTAACTGTGGGACAAGGGATGGAGGAAGGGGTCCACGGACCGGTCAGGAAGACTGATAGTGCACTCAGCTGGTCCACAAGATCTTGGAGTAGGGAGTGCTCAGTAGGAGCTCCCTCTCTTGGATGTATTTGTATTTTTCTGCCCTATGATGGTACTTGGTCTCCCACCTACTGGGTCTTAGTGCAGCTGTTTCCCCACTGGAAAAAAAATAGTCAGGATTAATTCAAGTGTTTGCATTTTGATTCATAAACCATCAATATTTAATTTCACATTTACAAACAAACCCAAGAGAGCCTCTTGAGTTTGGGGGCTCCACTTTCCTCTCTTCTCTTCCTGCTGAGCCAGTGTCTTTCCCACTGAAGAAAAGGACTGAACCTAACCCTACCTGTACAGCCACAGCTGCTGTGAGACAGGTGAGACCATTTCTGTCTGGGGTGTCCTGAGGCAGTGTCTGCAGGGTTTGGTGCTGAGTAGAAAGAGATAAAGGGAGCTGGAGAATTGAAGAAGAAGGTCCTTTCTCTTCCCCACTGTAGAGAGGAAGAATAAACCTCCTGATTGACAATCTCCTCCTTCTTACAGTTTGTATTAGTTGTCAGATGCTACCTAAGAATTTGCTCTAAAACCTAGCTGTTTAAAACACCAAACATTTATTATTTCATAGTTTCTGCAATTGAGAAATCCAGGTCCAGCTTGGCAGGATGGCTCAGCCTCAAGGTCAAGGACCTGTTTCCAAGGTTATTCATATGGTTGTTGGCAGAATTCAGTTCCTTAAGTGCTGTTGGACAGAAGGCCTTGCTGGTGATTGGTTGGAGGAGTCCCTCAGTTCCTTGCTACATGGTCCTCTCCATAGAGCAGCTCACAACATGGCAGCTAGCTTCTTTCTACCAGAGTAGGAAAGTAAGAGGGATAAAGAGAAAGAAAGAGAAGCCCCAGAGTTGTTGAGACCTACTCTCAGATGTGACATTCCATTACTTTTGCTGCATTCTATTATTAGAACTGAGTCACTAGCTTCAGCACACACTCAAGGCAAGGGGATCATACAAGGGCATGAAGACCAGGAGCCAATTCAGTGGCTGCCTGACATAGTTCAAATCCCAAATGAATGCCAGAGTTTTGCAACTTCACCTCTTAGAGCTCTCTTCTCCCCCATATCTAACCTGGACAACTCCAACCCAGTCCCCAGACCTCAGAGTAGAATGCTCTAAAGAAAAAACACCTTACACCCCAGGAGGAAGTTAGGTGTCCCTCGAATGTGCTTCTCTGGCACCCTAGATTCCTCCATTGCACCCTTCCATATTAGATAATAACCTGGCCACTTGTGTCCACAGGAGAGCAACTTGTCTTTCTTGTTCACTGATGTGGAATCTGACCTGAACAGAGGACCAAAACGTACTAGACACTCAGTAAATGTTTACTAAACTTATTAAATGAAACTTCTTAAAATGTGGTTCTCATCTTTCATATTAAAAACCATTGTGTTCTCATTACCAAGAGAGAGTCCATACTCTTCTTGGAATTGCATTCAAGGTCTTGCCCAATTTGGCCAAGGCCTTGCATAAGATCACCCCAGACACACAGCTCCACCATCAGCCTCAGCAAACCATCACCTCTTCTCTTAACCTAACTCATCCTTCCATGAGGTCCCACTTCTCTCTGCCTCTTATGTCCTTCTTCCACGTCAAGTCTGACAAATTCCTACTCCTCCAAGACAGAGGCTCTCTGCATTTTACCCAGGTGGTTTCCATACTTGTCTCTGTATACAACCTCCCAACTTGTTCAAGTCTCTTTTAAAAAAAAAAAATCTTATGTTGTCTTGAACCTAGTTTTTCACATAACCATTTCTCTAGATTGACCGTGAACTGCCTGTGAGTAACAACTGGATATTTTTCCTCCATAGCTCTCATGAAATAGGTCTGGGGATCCTTCCCCTCTCCCTAAGGAGGAAAGAAAAACCCTTCCTGGATTCTGGCTCTTAAAACCAAATACAATTGCAACTCCACACAACTTAAAGGATGAATTTGGTATTGCTGAATTGAATTCTAGATTTAAAATAATATGCTTTATTGACAAAGATGTTTTATATCATGTTGTTCAGATGTTTCCCTTACATAAAACATCATATACTATAGGTCTGTGTCTATGAATTTCAATGTAAATTATTTGTGCCACAATTTGCTTTGTGTTTTTACATAAAATCCTCAGACCCTGCATCCATAAAGCCACAAAGTACTACACCAAAGAGGTTGGTAGGGAAAATGTGAAGACTTGGTGAGGAAGACTCTGAACAAAAAGCCTATAGTTATTTCTGACCTGCTGAAGACAAGATTGTTTCTTATAGCACTTTGAATAGATGTCAAGACTAGCAGGATAATCGTAATGAAGCACAGGAAAGAGGCACTGGGATAATTTTACTAATTAAAAGGGTAAGTCACATAGTGTGAGTACTTCTCAACTTGGAAATTTGAATAGCTATGCTGAATCTTTTACTTTACTTTTAGTTCTCTTGATATCTCCCAATAACTTTGGGGTGAGGTAGAGTGGATGTTGTCCCCATTTTATTGTGAATTAAATTAAGTATGGAGAAATAAGATGGTTTTTCCAAGCTCACATAAGGTACTTATAGCATGCCATGAGAGTTCGTGATTGCATGCCCAGGCTGTGGGACCAAACTGCCCAGGTCAAATCTCAGTTCTGTTATTACTTGCTCTGTGATCTTGGATTTATTTAACTTTCCTAGGCCTCATGTTCCTCATCTGTAAGCAAAGATAATAGTCATACACATCTCATGGGGTTTTTTGAAGACAAATGTGTGAACAGTTGGAAATCATCACTTCCCTTATTCAATCCCTGGAATAGACCACACTAACTAACCCATTATAACTGCACTACTTTCTCAAAGAACATGAGGAATTGAGAAATGCCTGTAATACTTCAATCAAGTATGAAATAACCTTCTTAGTATTGAAAAGTCAACAGCAGCTACTAAAGCACTTTTCATAAGAGGTTTCAACAGGATAATACACTTAAAAAGGCACTCAAAGAAAGTAAAAAAATAAGGTGAAATGCATCCTTCATCTTTTTTTTTTTTTTTTTTTTTTTTGGTACCAGAGATTGAACTCCCGGGCACTAGACCATTGAGCAACATCCCCAGCCCTATTTGGTATTTTATTTAGAGACAGGGTATCACTAGTGTCTCCCTTTTGCTGAGGCTGGCTTTGAACTCATGATCCTCCTGCCTCAGCTACCTGAGCTGCTGGGATTACAGGCCTGTGCCACTGAGCCCACCTCTCATCCTTCATCTTTGAGAGTCATGACTCAGGTTTTCATGCTGCAGTCTCTGAGAAAACCTGCAGCAAACCCCTAATAGTAGTTTGATCAGCACAATGTCCTTCACACTAGTTGAACACATAACATTTATTCCACCTAAAAACCTAATAGCCAAAGAACTAGTGTCCTAGCAGAATATATTATATATTAAGTATATATAAGTATATATTAAGACCTTAAAAGAAGCAGCAAATGACTACAAATGAAACAAAAGGAGATCCTTTAGGGTTCGTGTCTATCAAAGGAAGAAAGCAAAATTTCAGTTCCATGTAAAATGAATTCTGGTCATTGTTTTTTATTGATCAAGCTTATGAACCTGTTACAAAAAATAAAATGTTGCAGCACATTTTTTATACTTTTCCAGATAAGGAAACAGAGACCCAGGGAGATGATTTCCCATCCTTGTGCCCTGCCAGTTCCCTCCTTCAGAAATGCATTTCCTACTCCAGAGATCTAGAAACTTGTCATGATGCAGTTCAAACACTACCTCCCACCATTATTGCCGTTTCTCCCTCCTGTCCCTCTTCTGAAGTCTCAAAGTAGTGTATTACTTGACCCTTGGTGTAACTGTCCCTTGAGTTCTTCAATCACATTAGATTTGCTTTGAGACAGAAGCTGCTTCTTACTTACCTTTCCATTTCCTGCTCTACTTGCCACAAGTGGATGCATAGTATATTGTAGAGAGCAATAAACAGTCGGTTACTGCCTTGTTGCATGAAAAAAAAAAAAATCATCAAAGAGTAGGGGAAGGAATGCATGCCCCATAACTATGAAAAAGATGTTCTGATACATCTGTGTTCTGACACTGTTGTCTTGAGACAAGTGGTCATCTGGTAAATGACTACCACCCCATAAAGAGACACACCAAAGAGCTCCTCTCCCTCCTCAATGTGTCCAGTCTGTTTCTCTTCAAAAATTATCTTTGCTCTATGTGAATCTATTTGAATCAATATCTCCCTTCTTCTACCCCCAGAGAGGTTCAGTTAATAAAACAAATTTATCGTATTGTGCATACATAGCTAGGGAGAAACAAAAAGAAAGGAGAATATGGAATACGAGAGAAAGAGACTAGAGATGGTACTGAACAGCTCAGAGGACAGCATCCAAAGGGCGACTAACAGAGTTAGAGACGGGGATGAGCAGCTTGGCTCCAGGATTAAAAGAAGCAAAGTGAAACTGCTAGCACTGAAATTCCAGAGCTTTCCCCAGCATCGTTCCCTGGAAAATAAATTGGGTGAAAATTAATATTTTTTAACAGTTCAGAGTTTATGCCACATCAAGAGAAAGGGGCTATGATGTTCCCAGTGTGATTTGCATCTTATTGCTGGTTGTACATCCCTCCCAGGATGTACAGCGTTTGAGATTGTTGACAACCTAATAACTGGATATGAAGATAAGTCCAAGGTAGGGCTAGACATGGGATGCTAATAACCACATTCACGGCAATCTCTCCCTTTAAAAGTCATGAAGTATTTTCACTTAATGTATCTGGGGATTCTTCAACATAGCTACATACTGTGGGGTTATTAGTCCTCATTCTGGAGATGAAGAAACTGAGGACGACAAAAAAATAAAAAAGGTATTTCAAAGTACTGCAATCAGGAAGCCTAACAGTATGAAACCACTGCCCTGTCAGCCCCCATCTCCTCCTCTTGCAGTCGACTTGTGGTCTTCCCTGGGGGGTGTTGTGGAGGAACAGTCAGAGTGCTCACTGTGCTAGAGCACAAGGAACCTCATCATTGCTCTCTTCAAAGCCTCCTTAAGCTCCCTGCTCCTCATGCTGTAGATCAAGGGGTTCAGCACAGGGGTGACAAATGTGTAAACCACAGACACCACCTGGCCCCTGTCTGGAGAGTACCTGGAGCTGGGGCACAGGTAGATGACACTTGTGCACCCAACTGCAGGAGGACCACAGTCAGGTGGGAGGAGCAGGTGGAGAAGGCCTTGTGCCTCCCCTCTGCAGAGCGCATCTTCAGGATGGCAGCCACAATGAAGACATAGGACAGGGTGATGAGCAGGGAGGGGATGGTGAGCACAATGACACTGACCACAAACAGGGTGACCTCGTGGACGTGGGTGTCGGCACAGGCCAGCCTCATGACAGGGAGGACGTCGCAGTAGAACAGGCTGATCTCCTTGCTGCTGCAGAAGGGCAGCCGGAAGATGAGCACAGTCAGCTGCAGGGCCAAGGCGAACCCCAGCACGAGGGACCCCACGGCCAGCTGCACACACACGCGCCAGCTCATGATGAGGGTGTAGCGCAGAGGGTGACAGATGGCCACAAACCGGTCGTAGGCCATGACGGCCAGCAGAATGCAGTCCGCACTGCCCAGGAAGATGAAGAAGAACATCTGGGTGCCGCAGCCTGGCAGGGAGATGAGGGTGCTCTCTGTGGACAGGACGCTGGCCAGGGTCAGAGGGGCGATGGTGGAGGAGTAGAAGACCTCCAGAGCTGCCAGGTTTGCCAGGAAGAAGTACATGGGGGTGTGGAGACAGTGGTTCATCCAGATGGTGAGGAAAATGGAGAGGTTGCCAGTGATGCTGACCAGGTACATCCCGAGAAAGGTCACGAAAATCAGCACCTGCACCTCGGGGAGTCGGGAGAAGGGGCGGAAGTGGAAGTGGATCATCCCAGTTTGGTTTGCTTCCTCCATGTGTCCTCTGCATTGGGCCTGCTGATAGCCCAGGTGCTGCCCCTGAGGACAGATCAGTGTCAGGACAGAAGCTACTGCTGCATGATTCACCCAAATCTCGGCCTCACCATCCTGGATCACAGGTCTGACTGTCTTTACAACCAATCTGAAATTAGTAACTCTCCTATATAGCTTTTCTGTTGTCATCACCCAGAAGTACTTGACTCCTGAACTATGTCTGGATGATTCACCTTTGTATCGGGATTATATATAATAACAATAGAAATATAACATAATTATCACATTAGGAATTTGTAAGTGTACAGTCCCATTGTATTAAGTGACAATGTCATACAACCATGGCCTCTTCTTCTCATCACCATCAAAAATTCTGTGCCCGTTATACTATAACCCCATTATGCCCTTCTCCCACCCCCTTACTGATCTCTACTTCTATTTCTGTCTCTATGCACATTCCCATTCTGGGTACCTCGTGTAAGTGAAATCAGATGATTTATGTCCTTCTCTGACTGGCTCTTTTGAGTGTGCATAATGCTTTCTAGGTACATCCATGTCTTAGTACATATTAAAATTATGTCATTTTTATGGCTGAATTATATTCCATTGTCTGTATATGCTGCATTTTGTATATACACTTATCAGTTCATGGACAATGTAGCTTTTCTACTTTCGGCTATTGTATATCCTAAACCATAGTATACCACTCCTAAGCCCTCTGTTTCCTTGAAACCTTTTCTCTGGTCACACTATTGGGGTTGGAGAATCTAGGTTCTAATTCCTGATCTAATTGGCCAATTCTATGACCTTGGGCAGCCCTTTGAAGCTTTCTGTTTCACTGAATTCATCTGTAAAGATGACAGTAAGACACCACTTGACATTGTTAGGAGAATGTACGTGCCTGACCCCTTTCAAACTCTGATGAATGCTAGTAATCCTGAAAACCACTCCTCTTTCCCCTCTTCCAGATCACCTTGATGCTTCCAGCTTACCCAAAGAAGTCTCCTTTGGATGCTATCCTCATCCCTTCTCACCAAGACATCCGACATCTCTTCCACTAGTCTTCCACCAGTGCCCACCATTTTTAGTTCCTTGGACTTCCCTCAGCCCTAACACCTGCTGTAATGTCCCCTGTCTCTAATCCTAACTGATCATGACTGAAAAAGACCACGAAACTCTGTCCCCTGGTGCCACAGCAGAGATTGGCATTCTCAACCCCAGCACCCTCCCCAAGCCCCCGAGTCAGCCCCTCTTTCCAGTCCTCACCAAGGCTAGTCCCTCACCTCGTTGCCCTTCTCTTCTACCCGCCCCCTTCCCTCATGCTCCGGCTCCAACTTCACACACACAAAGAAGGAACAGAAGCCCCGAGGCAGCTCTCCTTCATGCTCACCAGCTCTGGGCCTACAGCGGTGTCTGCCGACCCGGCTGCCCATCACACACTCCCACCTGCCTCAGTGGGAGCGTCCCTCCTCCTTGGCCTAAATACTGGCCTCAGTCTCCTGCTGGGTCCTCTGGGGTCTTGCTCCACAGATCCACTGCTCAAGCTCCAACACCTACCTCTGCCCCCCACTCAAGAGCGCCCTCAGCTCCCCCAGTATAAAGAAACTGCCCTCAGGGTTTTGTCACCCTCCTGGCTCCTCCCAGAATGGACATCTGCTGTCCTTCCTTCATCATGGGCCGTGAGCTTCCACCTCACCCCTCCAGCTCCCTAGACCACTTTAAAGAAGACCACCAAGGACTTCCAAGTTCCTGAATCCAATAATTTGACTTCATCTCTGTTACATTTACGCCTAGTGGCCGCTCCCTTTTCCTGAAAATTCCTCAGTCCTTGGCTCTGAGATGCTATTCTACCCTCTAGACACCCTATTCCCCAAATTTGGAGAGGTTGCTGTTCCTGTTGGTGATTCACCAAAGGAAGGTTTTGCTGGTTATGTACCACTCACCCCCGGATCCATTCTCTGCCCAGCTCTGCCCTTTGGAAGGGTGGTCCCCAAGCACTGGCTGCCTCCTCACTATGTCCTTATATGGCAAGAAGAGGAAGCTGTGGTGCTTCTTCCGCTTCTATGAGGACACTAACCCCTTCATGGGACATTCATGCTCATGACCTGGTCTGAACCTGATTACTTCCCATAGGCCCCACTTCCTACATCCGTCTCATTGGAGGGCTACAATTTTTACATATGATTAAAGGAGGGGAAGGCAAACATTCAGTCATAAAACACTTTGCACGTAGAAGGGGAAATACTACTTTGGACTTTGCTTCTGAGGTCACCCAGCAAACCAAAACAATCACCTCCAGTAGAATGCACCTTTGTTTATTTTTTTCCATGTGGATGTCTGCAGAACCTGTGTGCACAGGATAATCACATAAGGGCATTGTTGCCTTTCAGAATGAGGCAAACAGTATTTCTGCTGGTTGCAGTTTTTCCATTAAACACTTGCTATACTTTTGTGTCCAGCAAGCCAGTCCTTCTAGTGTTTGACTCTTGCCTAATTTGCAAGTAAATATTTTCCTTTCCTTTTCTAAATGCTTCTACCTCTGTGCTATTGTCTGATAACACAGAGGGTTTTAGAACATAGGCTCCTTCATGGATGGTCAATTTCGATCTGGAAGTTTCTAAGAGTACATTGTTCCTTTATTGTTGAAATTGCCTTCCTGGGAGTAATAGCAGGATCTCTCTCTCTCTCTCTCTCTCTCTCTCTCTCTCTCTATCTCTATCTCTATCTCTCTCATGCATGTGTGTAGAAGTAAGTAAGGAAACCCAGTGTGCCCTTAACCCCTAATATTTGACCTCCATGAGTTAAATATGAAGAGCAAATTCAAGGACTAGAAAGAGAACTGTTGCCTCTAATAGGACCCTTACTGCTCCTTCAGAGCTGCATTCACTCCTATGCTCAGTGTTCATTACTGGTACCTCCATGGTCTCCAGGCTCCCTTCAGGCAGCCTCTGACTTCACTTCACCCTCATTGATACCCAGGACTGAAAACAGTGGCTAGAATTATAAAATCATGCTCTGACATGCACAAAGATAAACTGTCAGAATATAGAGAGTTTTAAAAAAACTCAAAATTTAAAAAAAACAAATAAGTGGGCAAATGAACTCAACAGACACTTCTCAAAAGAAATACAAATGGCCAACAATTATATGAAAAAAAATTGTCCAATATCTTTAGCCACTAAGGAAATGCAAATCAAAGCTACACTAAAATTCCATCTCATTCCACTTAGAATGATCATCGCCAAAGATACAAACACCAATAAATGCTGGCAAGAATGAGGGTGAAAGGAACATTTATATAAATTAATACCATCTTGGAAATCAGTATAAAGTTCCTCAAAAAGCTAAAAATAGTAGTTTAATAGTAGTTTAATAGTTCCTAAAAAAGCTAAAAATCCAGCTATACCACTCCTTGGTGTTTATCCAAAAGAACTGAAGTCAGCTTATTTTAGAGGTACATGCATACCCACGTTTACTTACTACAGCACAATCCACAATAGCTGGTTTGCAGAATCAGCCTAGGTGTCCATCAGCAGATGAATGGATAAAGAACATGAGGTCTAAATACACAGTGGAGTTTTATTCAGCCAAGAATAAATAATTATTGGGGCTGGGGATGTGGCTCAAGCGGTAGCGCGCTCACCTAGCATGCGTGCGGCCCGGGTTCGATCCTCAGCACCACATACAAACAAAGATGTTGTGTCCACCGAAAACTAAAAAATAAATATTAAAAAAAATAATAATAAATTATTATATAAGAAGAAAAAAATTCACCATTTTCAGGAAAATGGATGAAACTAGAGACCATACTTTTGAGTAAATTAAGTCAGACTAAGAAAATTATTGTGTTTTCACTCACATGGGAAAGACAGAATAAAGAAATAAAGGAAAAGGGGTTCCATGAAAGTAAAGAGAAGACATGAGAGTAGAGGAGGGGACCAGGAGGGTGGAAGGGGGGCGTTGAGGTGTTAGGAAGTGAAATTGATCAGATTATGTTTTTATGGACACACGTATGCCACAATGAAACCCACCGTCCTATGTAATTGATATGCAGTAATTTTAGGTTCTACTAAGTGAGACTGATAGGACCAGTGACTCACATTCAGTCCTTTCAAAGTGGAAAAGACCATTTTAGAGCTCTGATACCAGTGGGGCATCTCCCTTCTCAAGAGAAAATCAGCAATTTTCTGGAATAGTTTTAAAATGTTAAATGCACTGAATATCCACTCCACATTAGAGAAGTTATTCTAAAGGAATAATCTGGAATTGGGCGCAATGGCACACGCCTGTAATCCCAGGGCTCAGGAGGTTGAGGCAGGGGGATCGCCAGTTCAAAGCCTGCCTCAGCAACCGCGAGGTGCTAAGCAGCTCAGTGAGATTCTGTCTCTAAAGAAAATACAAAATAGGGCAGAGGATGTGGCTCCGTGGTCAAGTGCCCCTGAGTTCAATCCCCAGTACCCAACCACACTCCCCCAAAAAAAGAAAGAATCTGAAACGTGAAACCAAATATATAAAGGATATGTGCGGTACTGTTCAACATTTTCTAAAGGGAAATAATCAAGTATTCATATCATCGATTATTATATTACCATTGAAATGATAATTAAAATTATAACGCTTTTTTTGGTTGGGGATGTGGCTCAAGTGGTAGCATGCTCGCCTAGCATGCATGAGGCACTGGGTTCAATCCTCAGCACCACGTAAAAATAAAGATATGGTGTCCACCTAAAAAAAAATTAAAATAAATATTTAAAATTATAACGCTTTTGAGAGAAAAATGAGATTTTGATTGTCTTCATGCTTTTCCCTGTTTTTCTTTTTTAATTTCTTGTCAGGAACGTATTTATTATTGAAATTATGAAAACGTCATTGGCTTACGATTCCCATTGAGAGCCTAGGCTAGTGCAATATATACACCACCAGGTGTACAAGCTGTTATAGTTGGAGTCAGATTTAACACCTAGATATGGCCACAGAGTCCCTGTAGTTGGCAATCAGGCCATCCATGAGCAAACTAAATCTAGATAATTTTGATATTTGTATTTATTTATGGATACAAGTTGATCTTGGCCTTGGATAAGATTGTAGTTGTGGTCTTGTTTCTTCCTATTTTCCCTTTCCCTTCCCTTCTAACTTTTTTCTTTACCTTTACTTCTCCTTACAATGAACCCTCAACGTTTAGCTTACTATTCCAGATCCTTCCAATCTTGTAAAGAATTCTAAACCTTTATTCTAGCAAATAGCAGTTTTCTTCCCATTGGGTCTGTTGATTTAATGAACATGTTTCCCAAAGTTAAATCAGTGCATTGCACCATAGCTCCAAGAAAGCACATCCCTCAAACATTCTACCAAGTTTCTTTAGAACAGCAATGAGGTTTCACACAACATTCAAAATGAGGGAGAAGGCTCTCTGTGTGGAATATGTCTGAATTATTTGAAGAGTGCAGAGTTCTCAACACACTCTCCACCCCAGAAACACACATTCTTCTCTCTGAATGGACACACAAATGTCATCCTACCTGACCAGGCATGATACACAGTCCCTGCTTCCCTTTTTGCCTTAGCTGCTGGGAAGCCCAACACAGCTTTATGCTCAGCTCCAGTACCTCCATTTCTATTTAACTTTTGCCTTTTATCCTGTGCAGTTAATGTTGATCTCATTGTGACTCAAGCTTTAGTGCAAGGTATTCTGTTTTTAGTAGCATTCAAAGCATAATAAATATATTAAACAACAAAAAAAAAGTTCTTCTTGCCTTTTTGGTCTTCATCCAAGGCATTGATGAGTGAGTGAGAACTCTCCCCACTGTCCACTCTCAAGCGTGCTCCTCCTCTGAGTTCTCCTCAGTGGATAAAGTGACAATGCTGGGAACTTCTGATGCAGCCAGCAGTCCCTTCCCTGTGCACCTAAGCTGCCTCTGCTGCTGTGCACTTGCTTGATACTTGGGTTGGTCAACTCCAGGTCTCTTCTTACCCAGGAAATGTCAGGCCTCAGGAAGGTGACATCCTCTGATTAGTCACTTTTGTGGTTCCAGAATTACCCGCAAAGACTTGACCAACATCTGTGCAGAGAGCCCTTCTTTTCCCAGAAGGACCTTCCCATTTCTCCTTTCCTTCTTCCTTCCCTCAAGGGGGGAAAACAGTACAGTTGTTCATACATTCAGTCATCTGGGGAATGCTTATTGAGCATCTGCTACTATGTGTGCACTGGGTGTGTAACTTAGAAATTGAGACGATCACAGAGTATTTTCTGGTGGTTCCAACAAAACAAATATTCTTCCTATAAGACACTCCTTTCTCACTACCCACAGGCAACCTAGAAAACCGGTCACCTTTCCAGGGAGACAGAGCTGTCCTCATCCTCAGCAGGGGGAACGTCTGCTAGTGTGAGTATCATTGGCATAAGTAGTGACACCTCACTGGCTCCAGAGCTAACCTGCTGCCCCACTCCCTGTGGGACTCAGTGCCAGGAGCCCCTCCCAGGATCAGGAATCCCCAGGTGGTAGCATCCCAGGCCATGCCCCAGGCTCCAGAGCACACAGCACTCCACTGGCAGGTCTTCCTCATGTCTTTCCTCCCTCCTGCCCACAGGGGCTGCAGCCATATCTTACCTGAGAATGAGCAAAGCCCGAGCTGTGATCATCTTCTTACCATCTAGGGAACCCTGGAGCTGACTCTCTGAGAAACCCCCTTCCCTGGGAACAGCACACGTTTAGACACAGTCACCCCTTCCCTGCGGCCTCTGCACAAGGGAAGAGGGCCAGACCTGGGGACCTGCAGGCTGGGAACTCTGGGCCTCACCCTGCATCTCCTTGCTGTGAATTCCCTGCCCACTCCGACTCCACCAAGTCCCAGGAGGCTGACTTGGCTTTCAACTGGACCATCCCCAGTAGGACTTTGAACACAAGGGGACATGATATTCTAAGCTGTTTTCATTGTTACTAGCTGTAGCTGTATTTTAATCATTGCTTAAAATTTTATTCTCCAAGTTTAACTGAAGTTAACAAGATACTATTTATTTATTTATTTATTTTGGCACTGGGGATTGAGCGCAGGGGACTTTATCACTGAACTGTATCCCAAGTTCTTTCAATTTTTTTCGACATTTTTATTGGTGCATTATAGTTGTACATGTTGAGGGGCTTTGTTGCTACATATTTGTACACCCACACAATATAGCAATACAATTTGTCCAGTATCACTCCCCAGCACTTCCGCCCTCTTTCCTCCCCTCCCACCTCTTGGTCTCTTTCTGCTACTGATCCCCCTTTGATTTTTAGGAGATCCACCCCAACTTTGTTTTCTTTTATCCCCTCTAGCTTCTGCACATAAGAGAAAATATAGGATCCTTAGCCTTCTGAGTTTGACTTATTTTGATTAACATGATGGTCTCTAGTTCCATCCATTTTCCTGTAAATGCCATGATTTCATTTTTCTTTATGGCTAAATA